TCATTTGTCTTTTTTTTTCCGATAATGTCAATGATCGTCTGTTACCTGACTGTTGACATCGACATCGCGATACTTACGAGACATCGTCGATTTACGATAATATCGTAGGGCTGGGCGATATAGCTAAAAAATGTTATCAAAATTTTGGCTTGGTTTCGGTTTTAACCTAATCAAGATCTTCTCCGCACTGAGCTACTATATTTCTCTAATATTTTGAATGAATAAAACAGCAGCGGCGCGTCTCGTGGACTAGACTAACAAAACATTAAACTACAACGTCACTTACATCATCACCGCATCTCGCACACCACTGATGACGCTCCCTGATGCACACCTAACATTCAAATGCAAATGTTTATTTTAAATTCGACTAATATTCATTCTTTATTCACAATCTCCTCATCACAGGCAGGCACAGCACTCATTTCAGCATGTTTGTGTTTGTGTGTGCTGTCTGCGTCACTCATAGCACGCACTATATCGAACATTTTTTTCTATCATTATCGATGGAGTACCGTCGATAAATATCGATACCGTTTTATCGCCCAGGCCTATAATATCGTCATATCGCCCAGCCCTATTTGAGCTAAAGCGGTTTAAAGCAAAGACACTATTAATGTGCTCTTGGCTGTTTAGTGAGAATTTTTGTGTGTGTTTCAGGCACTAAGAGCCGTTATGTGGACGTGTTGAATCCCGGTCGTGGAGGATCTAAACCGGCCGCTGTTGTACCGCCTATTTGAGCTAAAGCGGTTTAAAGCAAAGACACTATTAATGTGCTCAATTGGCTGTTTAGTGAGAATTTTTGTGTGTGTTTCAGGCACTAAGAGCCGTTATGTGGACGTGTTGAATTCCGGTCGTGGAGGATCTAAACCGGCCGCTGTTGTACCGCCTCCTGCTGATCTGTTTGCTCCTCTCGCACCCATGGCCATGCCAGCCAACCTCTTTACACCAGCTGCAGGTGTGTATGTGTACATCAGTGTGTTCTGTATATCAGTGTATGTCTGTGAAGTCTAACACTGCTGGTTTCAGCGCCAGATGAGCAGCAGCAGCCGATGGAGGGAAGCGTTCCAGACGCCAGAGGAGAAAACACAGAGCAGACTAGTGCCACAGTGCCACAGGTACACACTATCAATATAACACAAACAGTGTTCAGAATATACTTTTGTCCCACAACTGGAATTGTTTAGCCAATTTTTCTTCTTTTTTTGGGGTCATGGCTACTTAACTCTAACAGTGGAAAGATTTTTGGTACTTCCCTGCTAAATGTCTGATGTTAAATGTTGTTAGAGGACACATGACATTATCTGAGCTTTTCTACAGTTATCATTTTGTATCTCTTTAATTTGGTTTCGCTCTTATCGCTTTGCACATTTTTTTATGTTTTATTTATTTAGTTGTTTATCTCCATTTATATATTTATATTAATTTTATTTACTCACCAGAGACATTTTATTTTTACCAGAGCCATTCCTTTTTTTCTTGCATGTGGCTCTTGACATTTTATATTTTATTTTTATTTTATTTGCTCACCAGAGCAATTTTTTTTCTTGCATTTGGCAACTTGCTTACTTCATTTATTGGTTGGTTGGTATGTTTGTTTATTTTTTCTTTTTTTCTTTCACTGGCCGGGGTCAGTTTATTTTTTGCATTTTGTCTCCTGACATTTTATTTTATTTAGTTTTTACTTGCCAGAGGACGTTCTTTTTTGCATTTGGCCTTAATTTAATTTATTAATTTATTTATTTTAACATTTGGCTCTTTTTTTGTTGTTTTTAATTTCTTAATCAGAGCCAGTTTGTTTTTCTTACTCTAGCATTTGGTTCTTTATTTATTAATTGATTGATTGATTGATTGATTGATTGATTCTAAGCAGACACGCTTTCAATACACATCTGCTATAATGAATGTGTTTTCCATCTAGATGTTTAATCTGAATGCTTTGCCTCCCGGCCCGGAGGGGACGCAGTCTGGAGAGGTCAGATCCTCCTTTAATACCTTATCACTTCTCCTTTAAAGCTGCTTCTTCCTGTCACTCCCCGCTCCTTCACCCATGAATGCAGATTAACACAGTTATAACCACACATATGCTCACATGTACACTTACTACCTCTGAAACACACACACATTGTAACTTGCATCTCTAACTGTATTCTATGATTATGAGCTTTGATTATGATCACACAAAGAGCATGAGTGTGTGGGAGCGTGTTTGAGGACTACACACTACTGAGGCGTGATGTAATCCTATTTTAATGATTGACAAGACATGTGTGATTTAAGATGGCGCTGCATGGGATTAATTCGGGTTTGTGGTGTTTTTGTTTGTTTGTTTCGTTTATTCCTGCTGTTCTAGTTGTCACGTTCTAGCTCAATGAGTTCTCTGTCTCGAGAAGTGAGTCAGCATTTAAATCAGGTACTTTCAGCTGGTTCTTATCTGAAACGCACACCTTTTCCAGACACTGCAGTAATAAAACAACAGTGCTTTCTAACGCTGCATAGTAAAACACATTCACACATGCTGTCTGCACGCTTCTAACATCACACACTTGTAGCCACACCTCCAGCACGACATCTGTATGTGTCACCAGCAGCCCTGACTGAGTAACCGGCCAATTGGAAGGGCTCTTGGATTTCAGAGGCGTGCTGAAGATTGAGGCTCCGCCCCCTTTTGGTGCACGACATATTAACCAATCACGTGCTGCATGCTATTCATGACTTTCAGTGGGCATGGCTGTCTGTATCCATGGAGATGAGTGGTGATGTTGCTCTCCTGTCCAAATAGTAATCGCAAATGTGTTCTCATAGGCTCCTGCTCAGCTGTCAGCGCAAGGAGCTCCGCCTGCAGGAGGCGTGACCTTTTATAACCCCTCCCAGTTTGCACAGGTAAGAATCTCAAGGGACATTTAAGGTGCACCATGTGTCCCACAGTACATTTAAGACAATGTTTTGTTTTTAAAAAATGTTTGTTTTGGATTACAAGTTATGGTTAAATAACTTGTAACTAAATTGCATACATTTCCAGAAAATACTTCTGGACAATTGGATAAAACCAGGTTTAAGTTTTTTTAATTAATTTAAATTTATATGAAATTTTATTTAAAAAAATTAAATGATTAAACTTATTGAATTTTAGGAATAAAACTCTGGTACTAAAACTGTTACTAAAAGTGGAGATTTCTCCAAACTCATTTAGGCCTTTAAAGATATGTACTGTAATTGAAATATACAGATGCAAATAGATAAAATGCAATAAAATAAACATTTAAAGTATAGTCTGAACCAATGCATGAAAAAACTGTGGTTTTGCCTTAGAAACTGACATGTAAATGTCTTTCTCTGTCTTTATCAGTCTGTTCCCACAAGCCGTGCTCGACCTGGTCGTCTGGGACAGAGAGGATACCCCACACTGAAATAAGAGCATCGCTGTTGTTCTAGATCAAACTGTGATTCTAGAGCAGATCGGACTGAAGTTTGGTTCCTGCCTGGACTCCCGGAAGCGCTGGCATGCGGCCCTCAGCCTCCCGAATTACGTCATCGTCATCGTCGCTGTCATGATCATGGTTTTCCCATCCGTGCTGAAGTTGAAGCGAATGGTTTGGACTCGGTCATCCTCTGTTTCACCTTCTAGACTCATCATACCCATTACAGTCTAACTCTACCACGTTTGTACAGACCGGGCGGCGCTTCCTCAACGTGAGCAGTGTGAATATAAGTGCAATATGTTTATTTTTAGCCCTGTGTTGTTTGATTTCCTTTAGTAGTCTGCTCATTTCAGCAGGGTGAGTGTGAGTGTGTTTGTATGCGTGAGTGGGGAGGAAATGTGGGCGTGTCTTGCTGATGGACGCCAGCCAATGCATGAGTTAGAGGGCGGTCTGGCCTGTTTTCATGGGAACAGTGCAGCGTACCAGAATGTTTTAGTTATTTATTAAGCTTCCGGTCGAAACGCCGTCGCCGGACAGGATCCGTACATCACATCCGTACATCCATCGTCACGGCGTGCTAAACAAACCCATCTCTTTTACCGTCTCCTGAATGAATCCTTCATTTTGCCAGTAGCAAAGAATCATACATTTATATGATTTACCAAAATCCTGTGATCATTGTGCGTGTTTTGCTCATAAAATATCATTTATTATTTTCCTGGCTTCATCTCGCTCTCTGATCGGTCGTCTTCGTGTCTCTTAATCACACGCTGTTTTTCCTTTGCTCGTTCCGGGGTTCTTGTTCCCATGGTAACAGCGGGGTTTTGTAATTCCAAAGGTCAGCTCTGTTTGAAGGAAGCTCGGACTTTTCCAATGTGTTTAGAAATTGACTGTACAATTCTTGATAAAGTGATAATAAAGATATTTTTGAGCTCTTTAATACTTGAGGGTTTTTTCATTTTATTTTAATGTTTCATATTATCATTTCATAATAGAGTTATTATGAGGTTAATATTAGGTCTGCATGCATAATTGAAAAGAATCAGTATTTAAAAGTTGTTGATGGATATCAATTATTTATGTATCTACAATACCATTCAAAGTTTTGGGGTTGGTAAGATTTTTTTTCTCATGCGTACCAAGGCTGCATTTATTTAATCAAAAATATAGTAAAAACAGTAATATTGTGAAATATTATTGCAATTTAAAATGTGTTTTCTATTTGAATATATAGTAAAATGTCACTTAATCCTGTGATCAAAGCTGAATGTTCAGCATCATTACTCCAGTCTTCAGTGTCACATGATGACATGAATAGAAAGTAAAAAATGCATTTATTTGAAATAGAAATCTTTTATATCGTTATTAATGCCTGTACTGTCACTTTTGATCAGTTTAATGCATCCTTGCTGAATAAAAGTATTGATTTCTTCTAAAATATCTAAAGAAATAGAGAGCGAAGATACAATTAAAACTTGTTCTTGAAACCATTTCATTTTTTTTTTTTTATATTTCCATGGCTGTAATATTTTTAGAATTTACATAAATCTCGTACAAAACTACAGAGAGAAACTTTGCATTCTTTATTTACAAACATATTTACATTATATGTAAATGTGCACATAAAAATGTGCGGCCGCATCTGGAATGTAAAAGCCATGACCTAGTGGTTAATGCACATGCTCTAGACACATTTAGCTGAGGTGCTCATGCAGGTAAAGCAGGTTCAAATCCAGCATGATGCGATTTCACCTTTTTTCTTCACAATCTTTTCCTCCTCATTTATATCAATAAATGTGTCAAAAATCCTAAAAAGGAAGTCCATGTAAACAATGTCTTGAATGATACAAGTAAAATGCACAGCAATTCAGGCCTGAAAGTTCCTCGCAGTCACGTGGTCTGCAGAGATTCTGACATTTCTGAGTGTGTTGGGCTCAGCGCGCCCTCCTGTGGACAGAGGGAAAACATTTATTTAAAGTGTTGTTCATTGCTCCTCTATAGCTAAAAGTGAGGAATATTAGTTTAAAAAGCTTGCACAAATGCATACTTTGTCAGCAAGTACACAAATTACAATAAAGCCTTGGGAGTGTGTGTATATTTGGTTAAAATACCAGTGCACTTTTTGCTCTCTGAACTGCGACTTCCAGCATGCTCCGTTCGGACAGAATCTGTTTCAGCATTCCAGAATCCATTTCCAGCAGCATCCCTAATGCTCACACATTCAACATATCACACAGTGTGCACATACACATCTCAAGTTAAGAAGTCTGTATTCAGCTGAGCTGAGTAACTCACCGGTGGGGTCTAACTGATGCATAACATTGAAAAGCGTCTCGCCAATGGATTCCACTTCCTCTCCGTCAGAGCCGTCACTCACGTCTGTCCCCTCGGCACTCTGCCTGAGCCGCAGACAAACACAGCAGTTCTTTCTTGCATGTTTGGAACTTTCCAAATACACTGCATCAGATTTGCTGAATGAAATCCAACACTTGTTTCTTACTCATTTTGAAATGCTGATTCCAAAAATAGTGTCTGTTTTGCTCGAGCACGTCACACTTTCTCATAAAATATGATGCATTTCATAGCAAGAAGTCTTGTATAATCTTTTAATCAGCAGAAAAACTGACACAAAGACATGATTCTGAATCTGAGCCGGTTTACAACTGTTTGTTCAATTCTCATTATTTTCACATGTATGAATAATTCTGAAGACATTATTTTATGCCTAATCTAGCAAATATTGCTTAATCGCAATCACAAAGTTTAATCGCAACATATAATCATTGCAGTGTTCACTGTCTGTTTGATTACGTGTCATTTGTAACTAACGGCATGATTTTTACTGTTCATTTCTGTCATAGTCACCACTAATAACCTACTCCTAAATATAACTAAGAAACTTAACATTTTCTGTAAAGCTGCTTTGCAACTATTTGTATCATGAAAAGCTACACAAATAAACTTGAATTTAATTGAATTAATCCTGATTTCCACTTTTTCCACTCCTTTGCAGATTGTAAATTGAATTATACATTTTGAGTACTTCATTTAGTCAAACTTTTGACTTTTGAAGGCTTTGGTTATTTATATATATATATATATATATATATATAAAAACTTGTTTTGAATGTGATTAATCGCGATTAATCGTTTGACAGCACTAATATATATATATATAAAATTTAAAAAACTGAGTATAAATTGTCAAACACTAATAAACAGGGTTGTGTAATGTTCCGAATTGAAAATCATTTAAATTAATCAGTCCAAATGATTAGGTATTTTTTGTGACTGAACTTCTGAGAGGCTGTGTTGGATTTTTTTAGGAATTTTAGGAATTTCTCTTTCTGTTGCTCCAATTCAACACACTGTGATTCGTTTGAATCCCAACTCATGATCTGAATTCTGAAACTCGCTCGATGCTGCTAATAAAAAATCCAAAGGCACCTACTCCTGCAAGGTTTTCAAGGCGATTTTGACTTGTTCCTCGAGGAGCGAATGATCCGACAGCAGCTGAAGCACCGCCTCCTTCTTCTGCTCCAATAACATGCCTGAATATTTGTCATGGCGACGTTACAATTCCAACAGACTTTTTTTTACTTGGTGTCGTTTTGTTTTGTTTTTGGCAGCATGTCAGTAAATGCACCTGTTATTTTCTGTGTGTGTCCAGTGTTGTAGAGGTCAGTGAGGTCATGCAGCTGTTCACCCAGAGAGTCGGAGGACACAGACGCCGCATCATCAGTGTGAGACACGGGTTCACTAGGAATAGAATACGACAGAAGTTATATTATGTACTGCCTAAAATGTGAAAAAGGTTAATTATCTAGAAACATTATGTAATTTAAAGTATCCTACACTGTTGTCATGTGATGTCACTACATTACATGCTGAAATCTGCGAACTGTGTCCATTATTTTGCACTTTTAAGTTCAATTTTGTAAATACTCTGTGATACCTGTTGTCAGGTGATGTGAGAGCGGTCAGTGCTCTTTCCAGTGCTTTATTCAGCAGACCTTCATCATACAACATCTGAGACACAACACAAGCAGGCAACTCCAACAGCATACCTGCAAACATCACACAGCTACAGCTCAACTAGAATCATCACAATATTATAGATAGATAGATAGATAGATTCGGTGTCACCTGTGAGTTTAGGTGTCATCTCAGTGTATTTAGGATATATCAGATCAAACAGTTTCTCTCCCAGAGTCTCCAGATCTTCATCATCCTCCATCACTGCAGCATTGGGTGATGAAGATTATCTGATTATTTAATCATATGAATAATAATATCATCTGTCTGTACTCCGCTGTCGTTTATATGATCTATCTGTCCTCAATGAGGCTGAATAGGAATCATAATAATGTATTTACAGCAGACATCTCACAGCTGGGTTGCTGTGGTTAGAGAACGCATGAAAATGACGTAGAGCACACAGAGCGCGTGACGTACTCCGACTGCACCACTGACGTCGGCTGCGCTGTTCGTCTCCCTCCGCGCTGTGCCTAAAACATATAGTCCTGTTTAAAATATATATTTAAAGAAAGATTTGTAAATACATTTCCCAAAAAACTATTTGAGAAGACATCTTAAACATATTTTCGTAATTTTATACAGTCTAAATTAGAAGGTAAATGACTAAGTGACTAATCTTCACAGAGGCGTAAGAAAGTACGAAAGCGCCAGCGGAACCGGAACTCGTTCCTTTCCCTCGCTCTTCCTCTGCTGAAAAGGTAACGTGCTCGTCTAGTGTTGCTTTTTAACTTTCGAGTAAACGCTTCATAACGCACAGTTCAGCATTAAACGGGTATCTATCTGCGTCGAATATGTTATAAGCTGCTTATGAGCTGTAGCATTTAGTGAAGTGGCAATAAAAAGTAGGAAATTTCATTATAAACGCTGCCGGTGTTGCTTAGCGAGGCCTTCAGTGAGTGAGTGAGTGAGTGAGAGCGAGACGAGCGCCACACGGCTAGTTGGGATGAAAATCAGTCTAGAATGAGAAATAAAGTTTGGATTTTCTCACAATCTAAGCTTTACTTATGTTAATAAGTAGGTTTATGTGCCACTTTACAGCTCTGGTTTTATACGAGGGTATCTGAGTTGGTGGTTTGACACGATTACGGGCACAAATTCTATTCGTCTGTATATGTTACCTAACGTTATCTAATGAGATTCAGGGGAACGTAAATAAACAGAAATACGACAGAGAACAAATACAAGCGGAGGAATATAGAAAAAAAGTTTATTATAAATTGTTCTGTAATGTATTAAAGTTCAGCTTATGGATATGCATGTGATGTAAACTGTCTGTTATTGAATATGGTCTGTCTGTATATATGATATGTGTTGCTTTGTTTCATGCATTCAGGACCGTTATCATGGCATCGCCTCACCTGCAGTGGATGGTCATCAGGAACACCTCCAGTTTCCTTATCAAGAGGAACAAGCAGACCTACAGCACCGTAAGTCACCGCCGTTGGGCTACACTGAAGACTCTGCTGAGGACAGGGCTTTACTGGGTTGTGTTTAATTATAATTATCAATAAGCTGGTGTTATGTATTTCCTGGTGGTGCATGCAGAAATACAGGTTCAAGAGAATGAATGCAGGCTTCGATTAAGCTAGGTTCAGAATTTGAGAGAATTCTTTTCCAGTCATACGTGGTTGTAATCTAGTGCTGTCAAGCGATTAATCGCATCAATTTGAGAGCTTTTCCAGTCATACGTGGTTGTAATCTAGTGCTGTCAAGCGATTAATCGCATCCAAAATAAAAGTTTTTGTTTTTATAATATATGTGTGTGTACTGTGTATACTTATTATGTATATATAAATGCACACATACAGTATATATTTAGAAAATATTTACATGTTTACATGCATAAATTTATATTCATATAATATTATATATAAATGTATTTAATATATAAACAACATATTTTTCTTAAATATATACTGTATGTGTGTGTATTTATATATACATAATAAATATATACAGTACATATATATTATGTAAACAGACTTTTACTTTGGATGCGATTAATCATTTGAGAGCACTATTGTAATCTAGCTTCAGGGTTTATCTCGCAAATGTTTTAAGTTGCTGTTCATGAGCTGCTGTGTTCCTGGAGTGGATGAACAGGAAAACTGACACTTTTGAATATGCATATTGTATGATTTACTAGCCTGAAACATGCCTTTGTTTCCAGTTTCTAATGGATGTCTTGACCTGTCTATTGTATCTACAAATCTGTGTAATTTTACGAACTTATGTCAAGGGACGTGAATTTTCACTGAAATAACCTTGAAATAACCTGTAAAAATACAGTCTCATGTTGTTATCCAAACTGTGCACAATTATCCATTTAATTGCAGTGTGCTTTTAACTGTTTGTTACCCTGTCAGAACAAATTTCCGATCCACTGAAGCATTGCTTGTAGTTGTTCCTCTGTATTGCTCATTTGACTGAAAATTTTGCACTTTTTTTGTTTTGCTGCATATAAAATAATCACTGCTTTCTGATCTCAAATCTTCCTCTCTTTCAGGAACCAAATAACCTGAAGGCCAGGAATGCTTTCCGCTTCAATGGTCTCATTCACCGCAAGACCGTTGGCATCGAGCCGGCCGCTGATGGCAAAGGTGTGGTCGTCATCCTGAAGAAACGTGCAGGTGAGTGCGCACTTACAGGTTCAGGGATTCAAACTTTTTCACACTTATCGAAGCTCAATGAATTTCAGGTTGCATTAGGATACTGTAAGATTGCATATTTATTTTGGAATCAAATGCTGTAGGTCTCAAGCCAGAGGATGACCCGCAATGTGATTTATTTCTGAAATCAGCCATTAATCTAGATGTCTCTGCTCTGAATCTGCTTTTAAACGTCTGCAGGCGTTCTTTAGAAGTTAAAAGCATGCATGTGTTTCAGGTCAGTGTAAACCTGCCACCTCATACGAGAAGATCACCATCAACAAGAACTCTCGCACCACCCTCGCCAGCGTGAGGAACATCATCCGCAAAAACAAATACAGGAGGGACCTGCGCATGGTGAGTTCACACAGCCCAGAACCCTCTTTTGAAACATACATTTTCTGGTTTATTTTAGTTATTTGTAGTAGAACCCATTTTGCTTGTAGGAAATACTTTTAAACTTCAAGTTTTTTGTTTATATGTGGGTGATTCTATAATTGGAGATACATTTGGCATTGCAGAAAGTTAAGAAAAAAAACTTTTCACTTACAGATGTTTTTTTTTTCAGTATCATATTGAAAACATAATTAATTTTAATAATTCAGTGCTTGCCAAACACAAGTTACTTCCTTTTTTTACTTTTAATGAAAAAACAGATGTCTTTATGGTATTGTTTGTCAACTTTGTTGTGGACAAATTAGCCAATGTGTAGAAATAACAATAAATCATAACAGGAAAAATCCTTCTTGTTTCATTAGACAAACAGTCCTTACATTCCATCACTTGAAACTGAGATAATATTCACCTATGCATACCTTAAAAATAAAAATAAATACCTATGTCTTCACAGAACCGTCCACTTGGAGCAAATATTTTTCATCTGAAAATGTATTATATACAATATCCAGCTAAAAAAAATTAATGTTGTTGAAAAATTATAAGGGTGCAAAAATAAATCAATGTTTATTAGATTTTAAACAACAATTTTATTGTTTTTTTGTGAAAATAGTTCATAAACAGAGTTGACCCTTTAAGTAACAATTGTAAATTAACAGAATTGTCCGATGGACTGTCAATTCTGTTACCGCATTGTTATTCTACCTTGGTAACAGAGTTTGACAGTAACAGATTTGACCATTTTCTTTATTTTTTGCCAAAAACTCCACTTGCTAGCATAAATGCTAAGAGCACATGGCACTAATGAAATCATGATTAAAAGACTTTTAAATCACACAAAGTGTGATCAATGAAAAAATCTGTTTTCCTTTTGATAGCGGTAACAGATTTGACACTTTATAAAATAACTCTTGGTGTAAGAACTTTTTAGATTAAAATATTTTTTTAGAGCGAGCACAGACTTTTCAGTGCTTCAGATTAGGCTTGCTGCGATAGACTGTGTTTTCGGTTATACCGGTGTTAAGCCGCAACACCGGTTACGTCATTTGCCCACCGCCCCCCACCGTCGTTTAGATTTTTTT